TGTGTTGTGAATAGAAGTTGCGTTTTCATTCTCGGACATTCATATATTACCCAGCATATAAAGCCGTCAATCCAATAACCCAATCGATTTTCATACTTGATGTGTTTATTCGCTATTTTTGTTGTTGTTTTTGCCTTCAGCTGATAACATCACACGCGATTCGAGTACAAACACCACCCAGACATATTCCGGGTGTCGTTGATGTCACTCTATCCTACAAAAGTAAGCAGTTCTGTAAGGGACAACCCGGCCGATTCGTGTATGTGTGTAAGTATTTTTTGAAGGGAAAAACCATCCAAAGCATTTTTTTTCTTTTCATAAAATTCATAATTTTGACCTCAATTTAGGTGAAAATTCTTTTCTGAAATTCGAAAAAAGTTTAAATTGAAGAAAATCCCATATCAAATCTAAATCATTTGTTCCTCTTCATTTCTCTCTGCAGCTTTAAGCGAACCAACACTTGACTACAATTTCCAACGATTACAAAAGTCCGTACCGCGGCATCCAGGCGATCCCGACAAGCTACCAAAGGAGATTCTACTTAAACGTGCTGCCGACATTGCTGAAGCTCTCTATTCGATGCCACGGTAAGAATTGACTTTTATCAACTGGTTTATAGATATGTCAATCATTACGATCAATCTGTCATTTTGCTTGATTTTTAAACTTGAATCTGAACGAAAACAATAAATATATGTGTCAACTGTTTGTTCAAAGGTCACCAAATAGTTCGAGCACATTCAATTCGTATGCCGGCCAATTGGCGGTGAGTGTTCAAGACAGTAATGCACAGTGGACTGAAGATGATTATCAACGAACACAAACGAGTAGTGTGAGCCCGCGTGGTGGCTATTGCAGTAGTGCATCAACGCCACATTCATCCGGAGGCGGTTCATATGGTGCTGGCAATGGAAATGGATATGCACCAAATATGGGCACCTTATCAGCGTCCTCATCGAGTGTGTTCAATTCGACATCGAGTAAGTATTTCGCTTTTCCACATTGGTCCATTCATTGAAACAGCAAATTCGCTTCGTATTCTTTTCCAACTATGTATATCTCTCGCCCTCTCTATCGAAAGTTGTGCATGATTATCCGCTTTTATTGCATTTGTAACGAAGAGGACTTGTTAATTCCAATTGAATAGTGGCCGAAATGAGTCAATGTTCAGTTCGTAGAAATTTAGCCCTTAGTTTAAGACACTGTTGTATTATTTTGGTTGAATCCCAATGAATAACGGATCTGGGACAAAATTTAATGAATTTTTTCCATTTTTCGTTAATTTTTTTTTTATAGTTCATTTCAGGTAAAGCTTTCTGTTCTTTTTGGTTTAGTTTTTTTTTTTAATACCAATAAAATGTATCCGAATTAACAACCTTTTTGTTACTTGTTACAATGTTAAGGAAAGAGCTCCGTTTCAATTTCAATTGGAAAACGTGATTCAATTGGAATAGTTGAAGAAAATCTGAATTACAGCTGGTGGCAGCAGGCGCAAAATACGAAAGCACCCAAATGCTGAAAGTCTAACTCAGCTCTATATACACTAGTAATGATATTGATTACAACTAGTGGAAAACATGAATTTCAATTAAAGAAATCTTGAAACTTGAAATCGAGAAAAATCTCGATTTTCTATCAAAATTTTCAAAAAAAAAAACTGATAAGTTTTAAGCGAAAACGAGCTCTTTTCTTTACATTGCTAAAATTCGTTGGACAAAATTGCACATCCGTTATAAATATGTAACATCTAAGTGAGATGTTGATTGTTTGTTGAATACTAAAGTTCAAATTAGATAAATTTTTTGTGTTTTGAAGTTGTATGTTTTGTTAGACTACAGATTCGAATTTAACAAAGCTCTAATTCATAAAATCCAATATCTTATTCGCTTATCGCTCAGCTAGTGCCTTTGCACCATTAGTAACCACATCATCAGCTTGGCATCAAGCTTTAGTCCCTGTTCACACATCTACACACCAAACCTGGCATAATCCTTCTGCTACAACAGCAGCCGCTGTTTAAATCTGAAACCACTCCCGACAGAGCCGTTCGACATATATATACATACCACATATACAGACATACAAAACAGAGCCAAAAAACAAATAAAACAAAAGCAACAAGCGACTCTTTCGACTCATCCAACACACCGCTTTCCATTCATTTCTAAAAGTAATGTTAGTAACAATCATTTATTTCTTCAATTTCTAACTAATTTCGAATTTTTGTGTTTTTTAATCTCCTTATAAAGACATGTTTTGTTTCATTTAATATTCAATCAATTGGTTTCGAGTTCATGATTTCAATTTGAGTAATTTGTTGTTGCATTTTGATGTTGGCGCTGGAAGGATTGTAAAGAGATGAAACCAATGTCGAAACTCTCTTTCGATCACCTTTAGCGTCATATGTCAAAACGAAAAACGCAATTTTATATTTTATGCTCGCCCAATTAGATTTTCTTTATTGTTTGCTTGCTCTCGATTCACACCATGTTCCCAATTTTTTTTTCTTCTGTTGTTATTGTTCGAGACACACACACATACACATACACACAAACCAAATTTCATACTCCATCTAATTGTCATGCGCTTTTTTTCGTTTCTTTTTTGAATAACACAGGAGTTAGTGGACTTGTTAGTGGTTTCAATCCTTTTGCCTTGCCCACCTGTAATTCCCAAGGCTATTCAACTAGTCCGTTGGCCACATCATCGAAATAGTATTAACTAAACTTTCAGCCATACGTTTAAACACAGAACGATATGGCCGCATTTTGGTTTGAATACAAAGACACCCACACACACACACACACACACGACGAATTCAAGTGCGAAATTGATTTATACGATGATGAAAACAGAACAAATAAATCGTAATCACACTTGAATCACGTTCAAGCATTGGCTCGACATCGTCATTCAATTTACGTATTGAGACAACTCTTAACAAAACACGCTCACACATACACAACCATATTTAGTAAAATTTTAAAAATGTAAAACCATTTGTCACACTTTAACCGATTCGAAAATCATTTCATACCGGCAATTTCGAAGCGAATCAGTGAAAAGCCTCAGGAATAATGTTCAAAGATCTTTTGAGGTACTCTATCAATTGCTTCACCATCCAATTGTTTCTTATTTATTTGTTTCGACCATTTGTCAGTTCCGTCAAGTAATGATGAATTTGAGAGGCGTATTTCTCAATCACAATACTAATCAAACACAATAAACTTCTTCTTTTTTTTCTAAATTACGTTTTACAATTGTCACTACTTTCGTGTATAAAATCAACTTTTTGTGTGTATATTTCCATATTTCAATACTAGTTTGATCTGAGTCAATTTCGTTGAATAGGCTAGTTCACGTGTGATTTACGGCAAATTCAAGGCAGCCCAATTTCAAACTGGTTTTTCTCTTAAAACTGGTATAAAACAAATGTATACGGCGCTGTTTGTTTGACGGAACTGAACATGTTCGAAGGGTTTTTGAGTCGGTGAAAGGAATACAGATCTGATTTTTAAGTCATTCGATGTATGTGTACTTTTTAATGATATCTAATGAGAGGAAAATTAAAAAACTTTGCATTTTCTTCAATACAAATAGTCCACAGTTTGTGTTGATGACCAATTTTGAACAACACATTTCATTTGCGAAGATATATATGAAGAACTTTTGCGTTACGATAAGATACAATACGATACGATACGAGAAAGAGAAACGTTTTCGATGAAAAAAAGCGATTTCTGAAGGAGAAAACGTTTTTTTTTAACTTTCGAGGCAAAAAACACATTTCTGATCAAGAAACACTACAAAAAAAAGTTCCCGAAAGAATATATTGAATGCAATTTGAAATATTCCGGTCAAATGGCCATGAATGCAGACTGTGGAAACGATAATCAATGTTTGTGGTACTCAAAATTTGAAGAAAAAAAAACTCAATTTGATCTTTCAAAACACAACCATTTTTCTAGGAAAAAAAGAGATGAACTTTTTGTTAAGAAAACAGACAACAAAAATGCATGTAATATTAAAATGTTGTAAGCATCTTATAGAAAGTATACTAACACTGTAATTTAATTGTTGTACTCTTAAGTAAAATTTAAAAACAAACAAAAAAGTCAAGTATATTATGGCACATATTATTATCAAAGTAACAGAAAAGAAGAAGAAGAAGAAGAATAAAAAACAACAACATCGGTAACGTTAAGTTAAGTAAAGGTGCGCGAATTACAGATAAACGGTAGCTGTGCTACCATTCGCTCTCATTGTTCAATTTCAAAACTATTTTACCCTTCCCACGAAACTAAAAAAAAGAAAGAAGATATAACCAATTTTAAAAGAACAATTGAAAAAATAAAAAAATTAACTAATTATGTGAACAATTTGTGTATTAATGCACTTCAATAGACAGTACAAACGAATAAAACTAACGAGTTTTTCAAGCAAGCTATGTCGAAATCGATCACCGTGTGTCAGTTGTCATTTAGAAAGAAAAGAAGAAATAAATGTTCTGTTTGAAAACTTGAATTTACAATTATATAATTGACACAAGTCGTTTCTTTCTCTGTTGCGTCCTACGTGCAAGGTTTCAATTCTCGAAACGTGTGTGGCTCCGCGACCAGAACAGAAAAAATGATGATTTTTCATCTAATTACATAGTGTCACCGTGGCCGGTGACTCATCCTTTAAGTGCAATGGTCTTTTTTCTTTCCTTTTCTTTTAGATATATTTGCAAAACACTTTCACAATTCGTTAATTCGCACCACAAAGTTATTAACTATTTTAAATCGAACGGGAAACTCTCTCAACTCATTGGTTTTGATCGAAACTAAAAACATCATATTGTTTTTTTCGAAGAGCCTGTCATCTTTACATATCATTTCGTTTAAGCGTTTTGAGCACCTTTTGATACGAACACAAATGCTAGTTTTCCTTTTGATGCGGTGTGCAAATCAATACGTATTACTTTTGAGTCAAATTCAAGTGATGATATTTTGGTCCAATATTTTTGACACAATTGAACCACAGAGAATGAATGCCCGATCTAGAGGTTAATCATGATCATATGGTCGACTGAACTTATCGAATTTTATACAAAAGTGAAACTTGAATTCGTTTATCGAAAAAAAAGGAACTTTAAGAAGTGGAATCTTGTTCAGGAAAAAGTCAAAATGTCACCCTTTTTCACCTATTAGTTACAAAGTGTTCGGTTATTCATATGAAATGTTTGATTTTTCGAACACATTGTAAATGATGGATTGAAAAACGTATGGAAAAGTATGTTGTAAAAGCGACATGTTTTCGTGCAAAAATTTCGAACTGCCTTTTTTTCGCATGTAATGGATTCAAGTCCTGCTTTTGCAATCACTTCGATTAAGTGCGATTTCATTTTAAACGGTTCAAGACTATCTTCCTGTGTTTCTCAATCAGTTTGGAGAAATGACCTTTCGCAATCAGTCCGGAGAAATGAGCTTTATCACTATCGACTCATTTCTCCACGGTTTATTCCGAAACAATCCATCAATTGTGAAGGAAAAAGATTTTGATCCATTTCCAAAATTTGATTTTGAAACAAAAACTTGAAAATTATCACGCAACGACGAAATCACATTGGATTTTGTTGAATGAATTTCCCTTTCGCAAACAAAACAAAAAAAATATTCACTAGATTTACGATACACAATAACAACAAAAACCATACCAATTGTATATTTATGCAGTAGATAAATACAACGAATAGAACTTTTCAAGAAATGAATTATTGAAAGTGATTTAAAATTTAGTCATTTAAATGAACAACAACAACATGAAGAAGAAGAAAAAAACATTACACACAAAAAGGAAAATGCAAAATCAATAAAACTTAATTAGATTTCTAATAGTAGATATTTTTTATTCAGATTTCATCCATATCCGCAATTACGCAATAAATCAATTTATGCAATTAAACATTTTGATTGAAATAAAAATTAAGATTAAAACCAAAAAAAAAACATACTTAATGATGGACTTTCGATGTTCTTTTGAGTTGATTTTCTTTTTCAAAATTTGCAGTTTTCAGGTTCAACCATTTTTTTTTCTCTTGTAAATGATCGCATTCAAATGGTAGATTTTAGTGCAGCGAAAAGTATCAAATGAAGACCAGGTAAGTTGTAAATAGAATGGACACTAGACAGCGAAGAAGATCAAAAAGTTCAAGTGAAGAGTCACAAAAAGTTCATTGAAGACATCAATCTGAAGTAAAAAAAAAATTGTCTAGCATAAACGTGAGCAAAAGTCTAAATAAAACGAGACCATCGACATTTCAAGGCAAAAAAAAATCGTCGACAAATTGTTCCTTTCATTTATTCCATCATCATAGTAGCGATGTCGAAGGTCATTTTCGTTCTTGATGTTTCGAAATCGATTTGCAACACCTAAATACCTTCCTTTTCGAAATGCCGTACAAATTGGTCCATGAATTTTCAATTACAATTGTGCAATGTATACACAATTAAAATTAATTAGGACTTATGGTTTGAAAAACGCATGAATAGGCGAGACTTGCATTGACAACAAACACACGCACACCGTAACATGTGTGTGTGTGTGGTGTGGTATGGTGTGGTGATTCGGTTGTCATTTACAATGTCGAAATTGAACGAATGAGTGAAACAAGGTAAATAAACTCGACATTTACCAGATATGCACATGTGCGTTGAATAGAGGCGTACGGTTATTATTGCATTTTGCTCCAATCCACATCGCATTGGCGCAATTAGCATCGCCATAGACACACACAAAGGGGTTGGAGAGATGGCCACAGATTTGAATTCAAATTCAATTCGAAAATTTGATTGTCAGTTGACTGGCGGTTTTATAACTTCGTTAACAACGCAGTGCAGGGGAACGTATGTGTATACATCGTATGAACACTCTTATTGCTACAAGTTTTAGGCATAGCAACGCACGTTTGCCACTCACAACCGATGTGCATATGCCATTTCACAGTTGCCATTCTGAATGTTCTGCCAGAGCGGGGGGATTAAGCACATAGTTTTTTTTTTGCCTTTTCTTTACCTCATCAATATGTCAGACGAATAAATGTAATATATCGACTGCAGACACAGTCACTGAGAGTAAATCAGTTGACGTGATTATGGTTTTTCAATTCATCTTTTAAGTTAGTTCAAAATATTAGAATTTTCGCATTTTTTCAACTTTTCAACGTTTTGGAACTTTTGTATGTGTTGTGTACTAGGAAAACACTGACGAAAATCATTGGACATGTTTGAATTTGTGTTAAAAACTTTTTCTAATTTAATCAACTTCAATTAGCCCAGCATTGTCATATGGCAAAAAAGAGAGGCTACTCCATCCTCTGCGTGGAAATATAATACTAAACTAACGTCGATATCATTGAGTCGACGAATGTTTTGAAATATCAAGAAATGTCACAAATGATAGGAATAAAATCTATTAAATAAAATGACACACACCGATCACTCGGAAGAAAATGATTTTTATTCGATTTGTAGCAATTTTTTCGGGAGTTCATATGGCAACAAACGTAAATTTTCACTTATTACAGACATATGGTTAAATAAAAAGTGAGATCGAGAGAAAAGTAAGTTATTTATTTGTAAATATGTGTTCGAGTCGGAAATCAAAGTATGTCAAGAATTACTTATAACGTGCTGTTTTGTCAGACGTCCATGGTGATACGTGTTTTGAGAAGAAAAAAAATAGAAAATACATCTGAATGCTTTATTTTTCTAGAAAAATTCTTCTCTCTAAAATATCGACTACACATTTGGAACCGAGCAACCAATTCAATGTAATGTTTATAATAAGACTAATTCACTTTATATTGCCTTGTTTTACACACCTTATTGATAAGCGATTAAAGTCTTTGGAAAAATTCGATATCTTGACATGAGGTGAAACTTTTTCGAAAATATCACAACAACATTCACTAGCACTTTCATACAAAACACTTCAAATTATTTGAAATGATATCGGCATAAATGCTTTTTTTCTTCTCAAGCACTTAAACTATTCCATTGCAAATCCGATTAAATACGAAGCGGAAAATGCAATTTTATCAGATCCTTTTGATTTCTTTTTTTTCAACAAACCCACCAATAGATGGATCATATTAATGAAAGCTCGTAAGAAAGTTTCCTTTAGCAACGGTTTTTACGTTGCTCTTGTGGAAATATTTCATGCGGTATGAATCATGTCTTGCGTCAAAACGTACTTCATCAACGGATCTACAGCTTCACTTGATCCAATTCAGTTCGTCAAATTAAAATCCATTCTGTACAAACACACTAAAAGTGCATAGAAACAGCATAACATAATTTAACGCATGGACATGCGTAAATGTAATGAGCAAAGGGTTTTCACTTTCATCAGAACATTTTTCCAAATAAATATCACTTGGTACACAAAGTGTGTGTTTACGTTTAAAGAAATTTGTTCAATAATTTTCGATTTAGTTTATTAGTTCTTGAATTTGTGGGTGCTCTGGCAAAAAAACGTCTTACTAGGTTGTCTGATGATATTGATGAAGTTGATGAGCCTAATCGCACAATGAAGAGATTATTTTAAAGAAGAAAATTTAAAATATTTCATCAAATCCGCTTTCTGTTGAACATTTAAGAGCTTTATAAATTGTAATAAAGAATCAGTTTGAATATTAAATTAGCAGTCTTCACAGCAATCAAATTTGGTCTTTCTATAAATCTTTTTACGCAGAGAAGAACAGAAAAAAATCATTTGTTTTGTAAAAATAAACCAAAATTGAGATATCTAAGAAAAAATTTATTTTCCTCCATACTAATTTTGTCTAAGAAAAAAACAAATTTGTCTTATATATCTAAATTTTTACAAAAAAAAATTGTTTACCAAATATTTCAACCATTTTTCCCTGTGTGTGTTTCAGCATACTTATTCCTGTTTATTTTTCCAGCACATTGATTTTCGGCCACACAAATTATTATTTTTCTTTATCCTTTGAGTGCATTGATTCAGGCCACCAAGTCGATTTAATTTGAATATGATTTAGTCGTGTAACATAATCCATGTTATTCAATTCGTCCGAAAGTCTTGTTTTTCGATATTGAACGCCATCTGTTAGGCAATTTTGCCTATGTGTTAAGCTTTGAAGTAATTTCGTTCAGAGAAATATTTCGATGATTTTCGAAATTTTCTAATGTTCATTTTTCAATTCAATCCTTTTCTAAGCACGATTCATTATCACTTCTCATGGATAAGTTAATGGATTTCCCGTATTTTGCCAAAAAAAAAGAGATTTTATCTGAGCAAAAAAAAACAAAACACGGATTTCTCAATCAAATTTGCAAACGTGATCAATTTCTATGCATCATCAAATTGTGCACATTAGTCATGCTCTAATCATGTTCTGTTGGGAAATTCCATTGCATGAATAAAAATCGGATATCGTTCAAAATTTTAATCGTGTATTGAATGTGCTTAACCAATTATGCACGAGAAGACTTAAAGCAGTAAAACTTTCAAAAACGACAGAGTCCTCTGGTGCTCTGCTTTTGTTCCGAATACCATCAGAGCGGCCAAACTAGATACAAGAGATTTGTCTTGATTCGCATTTTTGTTCAGGTTTTTTATTTCGAATAATTTCTCTGTGATAAAATTCTTCATCATCAAATTCTATTCATATTTCAAACTAATTAACTGGAATAAATTTTGTTGAATGAAAATAAGTGAGACTGCAATTAAAAGCATCTGAATGAATAATTAGCGGTAAATCAGTATGCATTTTAGCAACTGCTCTTATCAATTATGATAAGAAGCGATAAACAAAATTTAAAAACAACTTAAGTAATTCTATTGAAGAATCATTTCTCCAGCGCAGTTGACGTAAATGCTCTTTTAATTGTTCGAATATTAGGATTATTACTCGAAAATTTCCCTAGTCAATTGGTCAAAGGAGGAAAAAAAAATTCATTGCGAAATAGTGAGATGACTGTTTGATACGTTTCACTTTTCGCTGAGTTTTTGAACAACCAATTGTGGGTTGATCATCGGCGTCAGGTTCATTTTTAATGTGCTTGTGTGTGTTTGTTTCGCTTCTCCAATATTTTGGTTGCATTAAATTCAACTTCCATATGCTAAACAATGAATGTAATAGCCTAGCTACGTGTGATAACTTTCATCTCTCAAATGTGGCGCATTCCACGTTTTCAACGCTCACTGATGAATGTGTTGAACGAGGCACAAGCAGCCAAGACCGAAGCGAAAAGATATATCGCGAATGAACACGTCGATGCACCTATACATTTTATTATTATTCTCTCTTGTTGCGGTATCAATAAAAGACAAAAGCAACAATAATCGGTTTTGTTGTTGTGTATTTCAAATATTTTCACAGTTGGTTGTGTGGTGGGTTATTTAGCTCTGCTGCGCGCTCGCTCGGATACACCGCTCGCGTATACTGCTTGTGCCGTTTCTTAACTGGTAACGTGTATGCTTTGTGCAATAGTATGGGTCTTAAAACATGTTTGTCGTTGTTGATGTCAAATATCCATAGACATTTTCAACGAGGTGTTATTACGTGTGTTTTTATTCATGAGTTGAAAGTGGTGTCTATCGGTTCGTTTATACACTGACTGCTCGTAAATGCATCATTAATCTCGACTTGAAGCATTTTTGTTATTCATCTGAATTTTCATCTAAACAGTTTTTTTTTGCTGAAGGAATATTTTCGTTTAAAATTCCATCAGTTCTCAACTCGAAATTTGGGAGGAGAAGAAAGAAAATGTCGGTCAAAGTGATGTGATTAAATGAAAGTGATCGTTTTCTTTTCCTCAGAAAAAGAAAATTTATTTATCTGAACAATAGTTGTGAAATTCCGCCAATTGAAGTGAAATTTGATGTTTTCGTGTTGAAATATTTTCCGATCCAAAAGACAGACCAAGGAAATAGAGCAAAAATTACAAAAAAAACGTTTATTTGAACAGAACGCATATCAACGTCATCTGTGGAACACAATCAATTGTTATTTATTTCGTGGTTGTTGTTGTTGTTGTTCCTCTCTAAAAAAATTTGCTGCACAATTCAACGCCCCAACTAAACGCGACAAAAAGACAGCCAAATATCAAAGCAGCTTGTAGAAAAAAAATTGTGTGATTACTGTTGTTTTAGTTGTTTGGAGCATAAAATTTTTTTTCGATTTGATTTACCTGCGCACATTACATACCATCGTAAGTAGTATTTACTTTCTATTGAAGATTTGTATTCTGGCCGACTAATTTATAAGGTCACTTTTAATTTACTTCACCGATTGTGAAGCGGAGAAATAACAAAAGGCACCAAGCGAAGAGAGAAGCAACAAAAACAGAAATAAAAATACATCAAATTCGAACGAGTTATGCAAATTGTGCGATTTTTTTTCTTCATTCGATGATTATTATTATTTAAATAAAAACAATTTCAACTGTCGCTTTTGTTGGTGTGTAGATTAAATTTATATCTGTTTTTTTTTGTCGTTCGATCATTCGTTTCACAATGAAAAGTTGTAGCGTTTGTTATTTTATTTTCGGCCACCCATCAATTTTTTTTCTTTCTTTCGGTGAATAATATTTTCCAATGCGGTTTAATTTCAATATTTCCAATTTCTCTCGATGTCTCTCTGTCTCTCTCTCCCTCTCTCTCGTAACAACGCGAACAAAAAGCGCAACTAGTCGAATATGCAAAAAGGAAAAATTGATAATATTTATCGTTTTTCTCTCTCCCTTTGCTCTTTCTCTCGCTTCCTCTTTCTCCCTTGCTCTCACTCGGTCTTCCTCTCTAGCTCTCTTGTTATCGCTGTCTTTCACTATCTCTTGCTCGCTTGCTTTCTGGCTATCTTACTCTCTCACTCACCCAAGTCGCTACTTGACAAAAACTTGAAGCGAACATGTTCCATAGAGACAGTCCCGAATTGATAAACAACCATTCAATGCAGATCATTATTGTTTCTTTTCATTTCGTTTCGTTTCATTGAAAATGTTCTTCGAAAACAGCGAACAAAAAAAAAACTGAATTGCATTCGTGAAAGAAACGCGTAAAACAGCAGCAGTAGTCGTTGTGGCCGCAAATTTCGAGTGTGTGTTTTTTTTCCTTCTTCTCTTGTCATTTCATTTAAAAGCCCCAATACACACGTAGTAATGCGACAATACATCCATTATACCAGTCACTGGTTTCCGTCTCTCTTTCCCGCTAGAGGCTTTAGGCGAGTTTGCAGAACGCAAATAACTCTGATAAAATAACAATAATAGTGAATCAAACCTTCAACCGAAAATTTGAACCACTTTTGAAGAATGTTGGAACATTTTTTGACTATAAAATCTGCACAAATTCACTGGTATGCACGTCAAATCTCAAATATCTATGTACATTTAATAATATTCATTAGACTGTAATGTCAAAAAATGTTTCAATATTCAGCGTTATCTACCAAAATCGTTCAAATTTACGGTTGAAGGTTTGATTCACTATTATTTTTATTTTTCATACGTATACACGTAAATTTGACATATCTATGTATATTCAGTAATATTCATTTGTCGTTTACGATGAATATTGTTGAATATAAATGGATATTTCGGAATTACATGCATACCATTGAATTTCTAAGTTATTACTTGATGCGTGCAGATATAAAAGATGAAAAAAATGATTTTCCCCCTGGCTTTCCCGTTTTTAAGAATGGACAATCTCGCTCCAAGATATTGCATACGTTCGAACGAACGAAAAAAAGCTAATCTGTGTGTGTGTGTGTTTTTTTTTACTCTTCGCTCACATCTCAACACGGCCAAAAGAACAAAAGACTAGAAACACAAATTCTGCAAATGGAAGTGGTCATTCCAGTGATTAAAGAGTTGTGTGCGCGCGCGAGTGGCCATACACAATTTCAGAGGGAGACTCGTAAGAAATCACGACAATGCGATCGATATCTATTTATATATATATTAAGTTAGCACGTGTACTGATAGCGGTCTGAAAAGAACGAGACTAGTTGCTCGTTAATGAAATGACGTGCAAAATGTGAGATACATTAACATTTAAAGTCGACCACAGAGCATCGATACAACAAATGGTTGTATAATTTTATGCTACTTAATGAAATCAAAAATTGTACTAAAGAAATTGGGTATTGGACTTGGTTACGACACACACACACACACACACACACACACGGAGAGGGAGAGAGAGAGAGAGACGTGAGCCAAAAAGCACAGAAGCAATCAATTCAACATTTGAATCGAATGACGTGCGACGTTCCAAAATTTTGCGAAACACTCTTTGAAATTTATTTAGAGGGATTATAAATCTTAGCTTGTTTGCACAACATGTTAGCCCGATATCCTCCGCCTGCCACTGCTGCTGTTGTCATCGCCCGAAAAAGGCGCACAATTCTATGGGAGCAGGTAAAGTCGAGTTATCGAAATTAATTGCCCGCTCAATGAGTCTGAATGTCATTTATTCAACAATATTCATGTTTGCGAATAAAATAACAATATTCTCGATATATAGAACCCTTTTTTTCTGCTCTTCAATTCAATACCTGTCTCGCGAGGGAGAGAGAGAGAGAGAGAGCGTTAACGCGCTCGCGCGCAAAAATGTGTATCATCGAGTAACAATAACAACAACAACCGAAGAGAGAGAAAGAGAGAAAAAAAACGGCTCAAGGTAACCGCACGACGTTTAAATGGATGGAAATACCAAACAAGCAAATGTAAAGCTAATGATAACATGTACGACAGACAACGAAAAATTCCAAGAAATTGAAATTAACAAGAGTATATATATGATGGATATTGACTCATTCGCTCAGCAGCGAGTGGCAGCGAGCGCACGGGCCAATATACACACAGTGCTCAACCGATTTATTATTATACATACACACATTTGATCGACGAGTGAGATCTCACGCGTCGTGATCTCTCGCTCTCAAAACACATTCATCGTTGATATATCTTCTTTTATTCAACTTTTTTGCTAGGTGATTGGTGCGCGAGAGCACGATTCATTGTATGCGACCGACTCTACATTTTCTACTGTATAGTTTTTGTTGTTGCTGTTTTTGTCGTTGCATCTCTGAATGGCAGGCTATCTAACGCAATCGAATGAAAAACGAAAAGACAATCAAAATGTGTGTGTGTGTCTCTCTCTTTCTCTCTCCCTCTATCGCTCGGCATTCTATTGCCAAGTGAGGGACACACATGTGTTTCATTGCCCTGTTGAGTAAACGTACGCATGAAATTAAAAGTAAATCGTGTCAGCTGGCATTGCACTGAAATGCAACAGAGATAAAATACTGACCTCAGCGAACAAACATTACCCAAAGACCCAGTATAGACACGCTTATTCAGTTCACACAACACAAACACACTCAGAGAATGCACATGACTCTTTTCAATGGGCTTCAAAGAATTTAATACGTGCAATTTTGTGAATACGGAGATATTTTCCATATCCACTGTGTTGGTACCGAAATTTCTTTTATTTGCGTGTTTTAACTTTTTGTGCTCGCGTAGACTGCCGGGTGTCGCGTAAAATTTACCGCAAAATTCACAATCGGGGAAACCTAACTTTTTATTGCTTTTGAATAGAAAAACTGCAGACTTCGAAAACTGAAGATAAATTTCGAAAGAAAAATTGGCATTTTGACTGTTTTGACGTAACACAAATGAATCAGATGGACAGAAATGAGTCTCGTTGCAGAGAAACCCAATTTGGTTATCTAAACATTGTGGATGATTAATGCAGGTGGAAATGTAAAGTAAATGATCTTTCATTGGTTCCATCATCTTCGACAGCAACCTATGAATTTTTGCATATCTCTCTCTGCCCCCCCCTCCCTCTCTCTCTCGCTCGCTCTCTTTCTCTGTTCCAATCTTAATCATCATCTACAGGTTAAAATAATCGCATATGGGACATCAATTTTTATGCTTCAATTCCGTGGAATTCATTTCGGCACACCACAATTTTCACTAATCAAATTACGAATAGCAAACGCATTTCACATGAGACACACTCTAATCATATTACTGCGAATAAATTGATTTGTTTGCTCACGCGCCAGAAGAGAAAAAAAAAAACGCTGGGCTCTATTGAGTAGGTTTCCATCCCAAAATGTTACGTCTCATATACAGACGGTTGCGGCTAAAGATATTGACGACAAATAATCACCTTCCAGTGTCTAATAAATAAAAGCGACTCAATAATAGTCTGTAATATTTATGTGCTATTTGGTTGTTGTGTGTTTTTTTTAAAGTTTCAATTGCAATTGCAATTGAATGATGTTTCTGTCACATCATGTTGTTGTTGTTGTTGTTTTTTCTGCTACTTTTCTGTGCACACACTTCATCATAATGCAGCTTGATTTGGGTCAGTTTTATATGACATTCCAACAATACAAACATTTGCTGGTTGTTGTTTTGCTTTGATACACTTCGCACATTCACATCATTTCATTTCGGAGAAAAAGTGCATCAAAAGTGGGTAGATAGTGATCATTTGATGATGATGATGATGATGGTGTCCAAAGCTGGAAATTTGAATGTGCGTGTGTTGATTCCACAAGGAAATCAAATTGTCATGCTGCCGTATTGAATCCTGGATCTCGATCAAGTGTTGTTTCCTTTCCAAGTAGCTGCTGGTTTCCATGGAATTATTTAACATTCGATTTTACATAGTTGTACTCAATTAGTTCAGTGCGCAACAAAATGTCTGGTTGTGTGCGCAGAAGAGAGAAAAAAAAACACTGTAAAGCGGCAGTGAATGCAGCCAAACGATTGCTTTGTTGTGAACATGGGCTTTGTGTATGCGCGCACACAAACGCGCACGCACCATGGCACAAGAGACGGAGAGAAAGAGACCAAACACAGCAACAGCAGCAACAGCAGCGAAACTGACAATAAAATGAAGAGAAAAAAAAGCTAAGTATAGCTGTAATATAAGTAAATACCAAACGTTGCAAAAGCAGTAACTTTCTATTCGCCTCTGACGTCAATCGCTTCACCGTCTTCTTTCTTATTATACCAACATTGCCAGCAAGCGAAGCACAAAAAAAAACATGTATTAAAACCAGTCTCGCGCGCGCAGACTCGTAACTGCAATGGAATTCCATGAAATCAATACGAAATGTTGTGAAGTGAACGAGGCGAATGCTGCGGCCGCGCAACGCCAATACTGCCAACAATCAACCGAATGGAAATTTATGTATCGCAATAAACTAGTAATCGTCGAAAAGGCCGATTCAAAGTAACTACTGAAAACGAAACGAAAACCGAATGAACAGAAGAGATAAATGGAATTGGAAAAGAATAAAAACAACAACAACAACAGCGACAGCGTCGACAACGATGGTAAAGAGAAGAAAAAATCGGCGCACCGATTTCATAAACAATAAACCAGCAAAAATATCATAATCAAATTGAGAATAACAAATTCTGCTGTATTTGCTGTGATATGACACCATTTCTATCCAAATGATTGAATTATCTCGAATTGTGTGGCGACGCAAGGGATTAATCTGGCAAATTCAAACATGTTTCGGAGTTGCAGCCAACACTTGCACGATATAGTGTACTTAATCTAAAAAACGTATCATTTCGGACGATGATTACGGTGGAATTTTCGCGAATCACTTGCTCAAAAAAAAATGTATTGAGGCTAAAATGAGATTAATAAAATCTAGTTTACGCTCCTTAATCCCGCGAATCAGTGAAAGGAGACGACTGTCTGACTTTTTTTTCTTCTTCTTCTACTTCATTGCTACTACAGTTACTGTTGTTTGTTACAGTTGCCATTGCAAATGATGTACGGTATTCAGTTGTCGCGTCATCGTGATCAATTTATGATCATGTTTGTGGTGCCATTTTTCACAATGTGTGAACCTGTCTGTCAAAAAATTAGATTTATCCAGATAACAGCAGCCCATTCAGGCTAGGTGTTTGTCGCTTTTTAAATGTGCTATTTAAATCTTTTGTTGTCAGGCTCGACTGATTGTTTGCAGTAGCGAGAGAAAGAGAGAGTGTGTGTGTGTGTGTATGTGCAACGAGCATAAAACACTAGAATAAAATAAGAAGAAAAAAATTGCATCATGAATTTGCGTAAAATGCAATGGGATAAGGCGTCGATAAGGTAAAAGCCATGCAACTTCGTAGAACTACCTAATTATTTATTCAGTCACGCAGTGAATTCTAATTTGCGTGCTGTTACTTTGTGTTTGTTGCACACTATCCACCACTAAATTATCGCGAAAGTAGCGGTATATTGATTGTCCGTTGGATTTTTACTAATTTCATTTTCAACGAAAAATGAATAGAGGAAAAAAATTAATAATAACAAGCGATTTTGTATTCAGGCTCGTGCGCATGTCATATAAAATGAAGCAATACAACACTTCGATGATATCAGATACAACAACAAAAACAACAACAAGAATATGAACACAGAAGCAGCCTACTTGTAAACAAGCAGCAATTAAAATTTAATTCGTCGAATAGTCGAATTGAATGGATGAGTGTGGGATCTCATTCTTGACTTTATGACAAAGCAAAATGCTGACGATTTTTTTTGTTGGTTTTGCTTAAAAGGGATTCCTTTCTTATTGTGTCGTCAATAGACAAGCATAATTAATAATTTTCATTCTTCTGGTTTGGAGTGTGTCTCTTTGAATTATTCAAATGCTCTGAACTCCATTAACGACCGGATAAAATTGGTGTTGGAATGTTACTAAAAAGTCACCGAGCGAAGCGAAAATGTTGAATCGTCGTATTTCCGAAAAAGACCTTCTCAGGTTAGAACAAAAGGCACAACACACAATAGATATGCCCGTATGGTGTGTGAGATACACTTAAGGCAAATATGTGCCTTTAGCCGGTTTTTTTTCTTTTGTCGCTTGATGATCGAGCTGATTTTAACACCCGATTATAATTTGGCTGCCATTTTAACTCATTCATACACACAAACAATCAAATGGTTTGGTTCATGACGTAATCAATCGCTTGAGATCTCCCTCTCCCGCCACAAAACATATGCGACAAATTCATTTGATATTCCCACCAATTAGTTCTGCTTCGACTTCTTCTTATGCTTGACGCAATTATATAAATCAAACGAAGAACCAAATTTAAACCAGATTTCGTTTCTTCTCTCTATCTCTCATCATCTTGAAATGCGTCCCTTCTTTATCTCGACGAAACTGGTATCGGATCAGAATCAAACATCAAAATTATTTAGAGCACTAGAGGCTTCCCACCCAAAGCTTTCGACATATACTAACCGAACGGCACCTTTGAAAGACGATAAAACGACCTATTGCGATAAATAAACAGGCCGCTGTCGTCGTACTCAAAATGACAAATCTTTTGTTTGATCCTATCTGTTTTTTTTTTCTTCTTGTGATGGATCATAAATTTTCCCTTCAGAAATTCCAACATGATTATTTGTCGGTGTTGTATTAATCATAAAAAAAAATATTTATATATTTTTTTCCATTAATGATCATATCTTTCTCATAACCGTCAATTGCGAAGGGAGCGAATAAAACGGCTTCACGCGCACTCAATCGTTCGCTAATTTTGAGTCCACTTTTAAACACTGCGAGTGACGTAGATAGAGTCAATATTCAAAACAATGAGTTGAAAACGATTCCATTATTGGCCATATGCTGCTGCTGCTGCTGCTGCTACGTACATGCCCAGATCTAACATGCAACACTGACTAATCATTTGCGATTTGCATGTAATTCAATCGACATTATCATATTGATATATTCGAATGAGTTGAGAGTGTTAACACGTCGAACGAAGAGGAAAAAAGCAACAAAAAAAAAACGATGACGATTGTAATTGCTGCTCTCGGGAATTCCTACTACGAAATCATGTAAAGCTATGAACGTCATCACGATGGGCTATGACTAAGTGCTTTGTTGTTGCTTTGCTTCTCCACTGTTCGCGCTTCTGTTGTTCATTTCGAAATGAAATAAGCGTCTTTTTTTTTACTCGGTCCAAGTGTGTATCAAACTGAGCCGATCGAATTCGATTAAGTAATACTCTGAATTTATAATTCCATTTACGCTTTTATTTAAAATTCCAACCTATGCTAGGAATATAAAAAATAAATAAATTTCAATAATAACAAATTCAGAGTTTGAACTAATTTAATTTCGATAGGAATTGATTTTGACGTAGTTTTTGTTTTTTCGCTTCTTCTGGCCGGTGGAATGGAACTAGTTAGAGATGTTTGATGATTGAATAAGGTTCAGGAGATATGTATATACATACCAATTCATACAGACAACTCGCAAAAAACATTCGGTAGTAATTAGCAAATTCAAACTTATCTTTTCCAGATGACACTAGTTGGAACGCCAAATGTGATTGAAACAGCCGATTCATCGTACGAAGACTACGCCGATAACTTTGATTTGTCTTTGCTGTCGATGGACAATGAATTTAACTCTTTAGTCAATGGTGAGTAACGTAAACATCATCATGTGATGCGAAATCATTTTCAAAACAATGCGATCCATCAATAAAGAACACGCATTCAATGCGTTTGACCATCGAAAAAAAAAACAACAAACATTCAAATCAACATTTTGTTTATCTTTTTCACTCTTCTGTTGTGTATATTTATAGCGAATGCGCAATCCGATTTCATCCCAACAACGGTATTTGAACGGTGGAATATAAATCAGCAGCAACGAGATAATACAAATTGTTTGATTCAATCGATGCCACAGGAGCATATTCCATTGGTATTCCCACCATCGCCAACACCATCGATCGAACTCTCCACATACAATTGCAACAATATTATTCGACAAGAGCAATCGCCATCCAGCTATAGCCTATATCCACCATCACCGCCCGATTCGAACGGTGCACCATCGCCCATCGGTTGCCATTATATGGATATTAAAATGTCGGATCCAATATTTTCCACCACCACACAAACCGATCTATTCGATGCACCGAAAAAAGACTATCAACTGCTGCGAGAACATCTCCAAGATTTAAGCTTCCAGAAAAAACACAATCTGAAACCATTGCCATTGGAAACACTGTTCGCCGATGACGAATGGGACGTTCAAGATGATATCGAACCAGTTATCTCTTTGGCCTTGGAACAAGCTCGCAAAGACGTCGAACAAACCTGTTTAACATTAAATATTCCATCAGGTATGGTCGAATCAATCAACTTGATTCTTTTGGCATTTTTTTTTTATTTGCTGCCGTTGATGCTGTTGGCTGTGGTTTTTGTACGTACTTAAAGTTAACGTTTTCATTTGTAGATCCACAAGAATGGAGTCGTGATCAAGTACGCGCTTGGCTTCAATACACAATGAAACAATTCAAAATTTCAATTACACAAGACATTGAGAATATCTTCGATGAAGATGGACCACAATTGTCACGATTAAATGAAATCGATTTTGTTAGCCGAATTCCACAGGTAAATTTATACGTTTTTTTTTAAACGAATTTCAGCGATTGATGATGAAAATAAAAAGTTAGGATAAATTAGGCATTCAAAATTTAAACTTCGAAATTTAGGCTTCGAATTTAAGCTTCAGTAATTCAAAAATAGAATAGAAATTTTCAAACAATAAGAACAGAAATGAGGGAAAAAATGATGAAAATTAGAAGAAAAACAAAAAAAATTTCTTAAAGAAAAATATCAAAGACTAATAAAAATGATGTGAATGTGTAGGCGGGCGCAACATTATTCGCTCAATTGGAAATTTGGAAAGCATCTCGATGCTGTTGCTCGGAAACACCTCGTGAAATGCAGCCAGCATCGAATCAGCCAAGTGAAATGTCGCCATGGAATGTATCGCTGGACTGTAATGGAATCGATGACCCAACTGGAACCGGTGAGTATTTTGAAGGGAAAAAAATGCAATTAAACACACGAAATTATTTCGCAAAATGACTAATTCTTGCTTCAAAAAGAGAGAAAAATCGAAAAGTTATTTCACATTCATTTGAGCGCCACATTCGCTAACCTATTCCAATTTCGTTTTTTTTTCAAACCGACAGATAAAAGTAATGAATTGTCATCGGACACATCATTTGACTGGGTTTCACTGCCAATGGAAGCAATGGAAACGGAAACCGAGCAAAAGCCCAATGTAAACACCGAAGTGCAAAGCAAATCGCCGGCCGAATCGTCATCGGGATCGTCATCACCGCAAAAAATTGGTCGACAAGGAAGTGCTCACATTCATTTATGGCAATTTTTAAAAGAATTACTTCAATCGCCCCAAACCTATGGCACTGCCATCCGTTGGTTGGACCGAAGCCGTGGCGTCTTCAAAATTGAAGATTCTGTTCGTGTAGCGCGTCTGTGGGGACGTCGCAAAAATCGGCCAGCTATGAACTATGACAAACTCTCGCGCTCAATTCGACAGTACTACAAAAAAGGTATCATGAAAAAAACGGAACGTTCACAGCGTTTGGTGTATCAATTCTGTGTACCGTACAGCATGTAAAGTGCGCTGTCCATCCGTTTCAATAGCAACAACAAACATTTTATCGTTTAAGTACGTGGGATTTAGGGTTTGGGTTTTGGTTTTTGTTTTTGGTTTTTTCTATAAAATAGTTGAAACATACTATTTATATGTAAGAGATCAGCAAATACTTTTTTTTTATTATTTTGTTTTCTTCACACAGTGAGAAGCAAATTTGTTGTAATTTTCTTTTTGTTTGTGCAAAGAAGGTAATTTCTTTGCTCAAAACATACGACATCAAGGGAGTTAAAAGTGTGTTGGATTGTCATTGAATGAATTTTTTGGTATTAAAAACTTCGACGGTTCACCTTTTTTCACTTGCCTTATCTTTCACGTTTTGTCTCATTTGAAAAAAAAACACATTTCACAAGACATGAAAATAACACATACACACAAAACAAATTCGATCTAAAGAGATGTAAATAGCTGGCGGAATCGAAACGTGCCAGGAATCGCAACATAAAAAAAGGATTGAAAACAATTCATGTTCGATGCCGTGGGTCACATCGATTTCGCTGACAGCGAGAGATGAAATTTCGTTATATTTGCCGATAGTAAATCGATGCACCGTGTCGACCAGTCATCATGAAAGTATATCGTTGACAGTTTCATGGTTTTTATCACAATTGTGATGTTCAATCGATGTATCTGAGTTTTCATGTGGTCGAAACAGAATTTGTGTGCGCAAGCTCAATATTTGACAACCATTTGATTTCATTTCAAATGATTCAGTCAAATCATTCTGTATTTATTCAATCCAATCGGGTGTCGATTTGCTAGTTCGGTGATTTTGGTCCCATATATCTATGATATATTGAGTACGTTCTATGAACATAAAAGCTTAGTATTTAATGTGGTCTAGTTAAGTAAATATATTTTTTTCCATTTAATTTATTTTTTTTTGTTTAGTGAAAGACAAACGCATTGCCTGCTGTGTTTGAGCGTGATTTTGTATATCGCGAAACAACGGACAAAAATTTTCAGCAATCAAAATAAAATATTGATAAATTTCGAAATTTCTTTGAGAATTTCATGATATTACTTGCCAAAATTTAATTACTTGATTTATATGTTGTCATTACACTTGATTTGAGTGACATCGCGACACAAAATCACACACACACACACTCGAGAAAAAAAACACTTGAAAAAATCAATTCAGTTCGCTTCGAACGCGGTTTTTTCGAATTTTATTGAAAAGTCCATGCAGTGCAATATGAAAGAGGATTTATTTTGTTAGTATCTCAGTAAGCATAAGAATTGAAGTAGAAAAATGAGTGCAATTAAATTTGTGCAGAAAAAAATGTGAATGTTATGTCGCACAACAACATATTAATTATTCTGATATTAATTTTCTTGATATTATATTGAATATTATGTGGGTTTTGGGTGCTTTTCTGTTTATCATATATCTTATTAATACTTGTAAGTTATCTGAATTTTGTTTGTTATTGTCATTTCAAACACATCCATGAAAAATGGGTTTTCACACAATAATAATTTATACTAGACCATAAGGATTTACAAATATTTTCAATCAATTTATAAACTATAGTCGTATATTTCGTTCAGTCTTTTGAAAATAAACACGGTGACTTGTCTGATATATTCTCAACACAAATGCACATCGAGTGGATGTTGAATATTCCAGCTGGGGTTCACGTGTGAAATTCCAATTCAATTTCCAATTTGATTGCCACATTGATACAAAAATTTCTCAATTTAATTGCACACGATTTTTGTTCAGCACATTCACAAACGAGCATAATTTCAAAGAATTAGTTAAATTCATTGTCACTTTATGTATTCTTCGATTAAGATTTATAAAATAAACGTTCTTTTGGACAAATTTGATTGATGTTTTCATTTTGGTTCTTCGACTAATTTACCCCGTCTTTATTCTTATACATCTATTTTTGGTTTCGAAATGAGTTTTGAATCAAGCGTTTTAACATTCATAGGATTTCAGAGGAATAATGATGGTACAAGGAGCCAAAATATGGATTTAAACAATCATGGATTGAAAATTGACGGAAAACGCTATACGACGCCTTTCGTTCAGGAAGGCGTTTTTACTGAAAATTGGTTACATCATTGGACTATATTAAATATGATCTTCAATATAATCCTGATTTGGGAAGACTCGGTCGGAAAGAAGGCATGAAAACATAAGAATACCAGTGATGACCAAATGAATCAAATGTGCGGACTAATTCAGTAATCCACAGACATGCAATGGCTACTGGATGACAAATCTACAACACACTCGAGTGCGTGTATTTGCGCGCACATTAACAGTGGCCGTTTGAGCGTTTGCATAACAAATAACTCATTGCAGTTTTGAGATAATTTCGCCCGAAAGTAGTTGAAACCGCTATATTCAGTCTAAGTAATACTAGTATTAATCACCAAAACACATAACTACTGGAAAGAGTTCTAGATGGAGTTAGATGTTATATTAATGTCATATTCTCTTTGTGGTCATATTTCAAAGTAATTTTCATACTTTTCCGATCAATAAATACTGAAATATTTACATTTAAAAAAAAAATTAAGAAAAAACTGACATTTTCCATATAAAATGCATTATGGGCACTCAGGCACCGATTTTACGAACAATGTTAGAAAATACATTTTACGGTTTGATGGTTAAAATAATCATTTTTAGCCAATGAATATCTAGCAAAAGATCCGAAATCAATTATCTGGTTACTCAGCCGAAATATTCTGATATGTTTTACTATTGCACAATGATTGCAGTACATGTATGTGAAATAGCCCAATTGGCCTCTGAGTTAGAAAATTCAGCATATGACAATGACAATGTTAAATAGCTCCACATTACTCTACAATACATATCTCTGCTTTATACTTTGAAAGCAGGTATTTTTTTGCAATCCTGGTTTTTACTTTAATTAAAAAAAAAATAGGAAGAAGTAAATTTTGATAACATCATACACATTATGATTCGTGCAGTATTAGTAGATAATTGGTTTAAAAGCTGCAAAATAACAAGAATGAAGCCTATCCAATGGAAATGGGTGGTAAATTTAATATTTACCACCCAGATAAGAATTTTCATCAAATGTGATTTGTTTCAGTTCTTGTATTTTTAATGTCGGAAAAGTTTTTTCAGCTCAATGTTCAAGCTAAAAAAAAGGTTTTATTTGACTTGATTTTTATAAAAGTAGCAATAAATTATTGCCAATTTTCTCACCTGCAAGCCATATGTCTACCATCGTTTCACTTTCCAAAATGTGCATCAAAATTTCCTATGAATATATGAATGTCCGAGAATGAAAACGCAACTTCTATTCACAACACATATAAGTGAAACAAAAATAAAAATTTTTATTGAAATGAAACAACAAAATCGAATTTTTTCAAAGTGTAACAACAAAAAAGATTTTTTCAAAGTGTAACATCGGTATGTAGTAAGTGTAACAACATACCGATGTTACACTTTAAAAAAATCTTTTTTGTTGTTACACTTTGAAAAAATTCGATTGTGTTGTTTCATTTCAATAAATTTTTTTATTTTTGTTTCACTTATATGTGTTGTGAATAGAAGTTGCGTTTTCATTCTCGGACATTCATATAATAGTTCCGATATCCCATACGCTTGGTTCCAAATTGATTGCATGCAAAACACTAATTCCAGAGACTACTAGTGTCATGTCACATAATACTAAACGCATCCATTCTTAATAGGAAAACAATGAAAAATTAATGGGTGCGTTTAATATTATGCAGCATTTACGTGCATTTACATTCCACACTTGCGGTCGTTGACTAATTCAACAAGACTTTGTATGCAAATTGTCGATAATAAATGCTCTTTGGCGCCAAACATAAAATGCAGTTCACATCGTTTTGGATTTCTAGGGTTAAATCTATATCGATGAGAACGAGTAAATAGGTATAGTACCTATATTATTTTAGCCTATTTTGCCAAACGGTGGATTGTATAAAAATTCCAGGTGGTGTGTCACTTTGTCAACAAAAACGATAATTTGGCCAAACGGTTGCGAATCAATTTTGTCCCAGTGACTTATCTTCAGAATTCGACTTAAATGACCGCTTCATAAATGTCAACAATAATGTATCCGTATATTCCACGTAACTTAGACCGAGTAAAACATTACGTACATGAATGGGGTATAAAATGGTGCCAAAGACTAATTTCCCGTCGACTGATTGATGATAAAATATTTATTGACTTGCATTGAAACGAAAATCCATCGCGAAGGATAAGAAAAATGAATATTTGATTTGGTAATGCATGAATTGATTGACATACTTACTAGACATCCTGACGGCAGAGATTGGTTCGTGTTTTCTTTTGCGATGGATTATGATTGTTTAAATCATGGTATAAAAGTTTCATGATATTTTGGAGTTTTCGAAAGCATCCAATATTATAATAATTCCCATACGTGTTCAAGGTCGTTTTAGCGTCAATAAATCACTTTTCTTCGAATTAAATTGAAAATTTGAGCAATGTATGACATTTAAACATGCTATATAAACGACATTTTATGCGCATACAATTCAGTTTGGTGTCAAATGTGAAGTAGTGTAGTTAGGCTTGAAAAGAAAAGAAGAAAATAATCCCTTTAAGAAAATCATCCTTTTGAAAAGAGAACAGCTCCAATTTTTAAGTTCGAAATTTAATTAGAAAAAAAAGGTATGGAGCCACTTTTAACGAATCGACGGATATTAACGTGGCTTTGTGTGTATCCACCACCGAAAGATGTAAGCGTATGCAAACGATTGGGCCACATAATGTTCAGCTGGACCGTTTTCGGTGCCAATTTCAGTTACCTGGTTGTTAGTTTCATTTTTCTGTTGAAACACATTCGTGTCGATCTGGGAGAGGCTTTCTTCGCTATTTATCAAGTTGCTGGAATGCTCGCGCCAATTTATTGCACCATAATTGCATATTTTTCACGACATAGTTTGACTAAGATTTTTGTCGGTTTATCAAATATCTACAACGAAAGTGAGTACAATTCGATGCACAAGTAAATTCATTTCGTTTTCTTTTTGATAAACAGTAAACTAGTGAAATTAATAAAATAGAAAAAAATGAGATCGAAAACAAAGAAGAAAAAGAATTATCCTGAATTAACCTTCAAACCGTAAAATGTGTTTTCTAACGTTGTTCGTAAAATTGGTGCCTGAGTGTCCGATGCATTTTATATGGGAAATGTCAGTTTTTTCTTAAATTTTTATTTTTAAATGTAAATATTTCCGAAATTATTGATCGGAAAGTATGAAAATTACTTTGAAATGTGATAAAAGTCATAAAAAATCGAAATATGAAAGACAACAGCAAGTTTCTTGGATTTTTTTCAATAAAGTGGGAATTGCAATGTTGATCTCTTCACAAAAATGAAAGCATATACAGAAAAACATATACATACAAATTCCACTATGGCCGATTTTGACGTCAAAAATTGAGATTTTGAACGGCAGGTTGGATCAAAAAGTTATGTATATCACTAGAAAGGTCTTGAAAAGTAGATGTCATTTTTGGTATAAAACTTCAAAATAGGCCGGCATTTGGCCAATATTTGGCCGTTGGAATTTTTTTGGCCAAAATTGATAAAATGGCCATATTTTGATAAAATGATGATCGATTTTGATGTTTTATAACTCAAATTACATGTACT